TCCCCATTCCCAAAGTCATGATGACACCTCCATCTTTAAGCTTCAATACCGCAATGATGAGATTTGCATCGTCCTTTCTTTCGAAATTTCGTGACCCGATACACCCTTTTGCGAAAGAATGGTGTGATCCTCTTGTCACCCACTCAAATACACGTTTTGGTACCACCTTTTCAGTTGCGCCAATTTCACCTAAATCAGACCCGTTTAAACATATAATTACATGCATATTAAGAGACCATAAGGCTGGCTACAAACATGAAGTTGGCCACCTCAATTTGCATTTGTATCAATTAAACCCCGAAAATTATTAAAGGCGAGGTGTTTCGAAACCGCGTATGATAATCGAATTTTTTTAAATTTTTGGCAGACATTCCAAGCAATGAGTGCAATGCGCAGCCCCCACTATGGCATCTCATGTCCCGGCTTCAACCAACACATGGAGTATTTTATATTGATGGGAAGATTCTCATATATTGTGTTCGATGGACCGGCATGTACATAACTCAATTAAACTATGCTAATGACATGATTATATTAATTAAATGGGGGCAGCATTAATTAATGGAGCATGTCTCCTTTGGAAAAAGAGAATCGATTCTCGATCTGCTGGGCTATTGATTGGTCAAAAATGGCTAAAATATACACGGGAAGTTACTTAGAAGATGAGCTTAATGTTGTGTCTAGTGTTCTATCTAGTGTAGTCCCTATCTTGCTAATGACCACCATGACCTTCCCATGCATGGAAAGTCACTTGTGGTTTGATCTAAAAGGATTTTAATTTGTGTAATTTTCTATCATATGAAACTTTGCTTGTTATGGACTAAGGATGTGTGTTGGTTTTGGAGAACAAGTTTTAGCTTAACTTCTGCCGATTCTTTTAAAAAAACCAAGGGTTGATCTCACTATAAAACATAAATTTTTCCTCGTGGGACACCAATATCCCAAACTTATTTTTTTCGTCTCACCAATACCTCCAAACTTGTACCAGTAAGTCAAAGTAACATCTCACATAGCGTTGTCTACCCATGTTGTCACGTCGGATTCTTAACGCCCATTATGGACTAAACCGTGATCGAAGGTATTTACGGGTCAGTGGTTCAATTTTGGTGATATAGACGGGACGAAAAAATTTGAGGGTATTAATGTCCTTCCGAGATTATAAAAAAAAAAGGTTCGGATTTTTTTATGGATTTATGTGCATTCATCATTAGAGGAGTGCCATGTGTGCTAGAAGTTAGCTTTGTAACTGAAATCTTTCAGATGTCAATCTTCTAACGGTGAATGCGTAAACTATTTTTTACATCAAATAATGTGAACCTCATGAAAATCCTTTAATATATATTTCTTCTATCTGATAATTTTTGTTTTCCCCTCATTATTTTAATTACAGTCTATATTAAATAGAAACGACAAATCTTTCTTAAATTTCAGTTTCCTTTCGTTTTCAATTTTCAAAAAAGTTTTCAGTTTCTGGAAAATATGAAAACAAGGGTGACCTAACCAGCGCATTTCTTGGTCAATGTTTCCCAAATGGGAGGATTTTCAATAATGAAATGCATCCTAACTTTTTTGAGAGACCTCAGCCCACAGGTTGTGCATCCATTAATAGTATCATGTGCAACCTAATTTTAAAGTGAATTATATATATATATACACACACACACACACACACACACACACACATTGTATTAGCACATCAAGTACTTTTAACTTTCTTTCTTTTCTTTTATTTATTTTCTCAACTTTTGATTACTGACGATCATATCTGAATTTTAAAGTCCTGTAAATCCCATGAATGCACGCAAGCCATTTCATCCATTCGTATTGGCCGGCTCGCAGAGTTACTTGTGATGGGAGATCCGGTGATTATATCTAAAATCTTTCGCATTTAAACCCTAGACCATTGTCCATAGAAACCCACACATATTATTTGTACTTTGATATGCTCGATAATTTGTTTATTACACATTGTAGCATGCTTTCAACTTTCTCTCTGGTATGCATGTGAATATAAGTTCCATACATTGTTAGGTCAGATATCTTAAAGTGATATAAACCTAATCGAGCCCCTTTATTTAGGACCACTTATTTTTTGGTCAATATTTAGGACCACTTACAAGCCTCATAAGTCACTCCATCTCCAAGTAGATGTAGCCTAAAAGCTAACTAGGAAAGGAAGGGAGTCAATTTTCCTTTCTCTAGACAACAACAGCGCTAGGAACAAAAGTAAAATAAAAGGGTTTCTTGTATCCTTATATGACATTGACACAACCAAGCCTAAAAGGCCCAAAAGAGTTTGAAACAAATGCATATCTAAACTATATTTCTCTTTCCGATTTAGAAAGTCCTTTTGGACCGTTGCTATATGAGAATTTTAGGATATGTGGCTAGGACAGAGAGAGGGGGAGACAAGGGGATTATTATGGCAAAAGTTAGGTTAGAAAGAACCAATATAGCGTATTCGATTTGAATGCTGCCAATTATTCATGAATCGCGATGTCTCCCATTCAAAATAAGGAGTAACATTGCGGGTCACACTTGTTATTCTATGGATGGAGCTGAAAATTCAAATACCCAGTAATATTATCGAAAAAACATATAATGGGGAAAAACACAAAAACCTAGAAAGAAACAAGGCAAAGAAATTGGAAGGGGGGGTCTTTATGGGGGCGATGTTGATGGACCAAAGGGCACATCTAGGGTTAGGGATGTTTCTTTCTCCAAGGGGACGTGACCTGTCTTGAAGCCACCACCATACGGTCTTAAACAAAGGCCTCACAAAAACTGGTGATGCTGATAACTCCTGCGCATCAACACTGGCTCAAAAAAAAAAAAAAACACTGACTCATATTATGCTCAGGAGAGAATCCCAAGATCTGTTTACATTGCAATCTCCTTCAAATGGGACTTATCCTTGGTTGCTCCATCCACTTCAGTATTAATGGCGCAACGTATACGTCGCAGATAATCCCGCTTTACCCCTCCGAACTCGATGAGGACAAGAAGTTTGTCGTCATATCACTCCCTTGGGTTACGTCCTTATCCCAGACCGGCCAAGATATACTCTCAAGTCGTTTTTCGAAGATTACGTTCGTATCTTCTCATATATGACCTTACCTTTCTTGGGTTTTGTAAATGGGGGATGGTGAGTACATCGATAAGCTTCCATGCTGACACATTTGTGTCTTCAGTTAAGAGAGAGCCACTGCAGGAAGTGAAAAGGAACTGTATGAGGTTGGAAGAAATTTCACAACATTAGGAGTTTTATACGATACAATAATTGATTTCGAGACAAATTATAGTTTCGCGAGAGAAGATGCAACCTCGCCAGAGATACTATCTCTAATGTATACTCTCATCTCGTGAAAGGAACCTATGATAATCTATCCAAAAGTGGGCTTTTTCTTAACAAACTTTCATCATATGAGGACTAGCAATACAATTAGGAGAAAAAGGATGGCCATACGTGTAGCTCTCTGGGCGATATATAAGACCGGTTTGATATATATCAAGCTAACTAACAAGAGCTAATTAATGCGAAACCAGGACGGAGGAAATCATAATCCTTCAACAAACACGGATACGACAAAACACATAAAATTGCACGTGCACACGCATAATCACCGGGTTGAGCACATCGATCAAGCTTCTCTGCGAATGCCCTAAGAGGAACACTTTTTTGGAGCCACGGCTTGGACTCGAATTGGCAATCAACTCTTCTCATTTAGACCGGATGCTTCCACGTTTGGACCAGAAGAAGTTAGACATGGCAATGTGCACATAGTTGCAGCCATTCCTACTTGCGGTTCATGTTCACGGACATATATGTTTAATCTTAATAGGCAAAGTGTTAGGGCAGGGTCACTTTTATACCCTTGATTGGAAAAACCATCAAATGAGGGAATGCTGGTCAGAGAAATTTTAAATAGAAAGCGACATCTCAGAATTTATTGGGGTGAGAAAGTTGGTTGTCAAGTTGTGCTCTCAGGTTTGGACTTGGTCATGTATCTCCTTCTTTCATGTACAATTGTAAATAGCATTCCCAATTGATTGTTACCTAAATTATATGAGACAGGAAAGATAGACATTGAGAAGAACCGAAGTCATGTAATTATATGATATTTGTTCATTTTTCTTATTTATTGACGTTTGTTGTGGATATAGCATTTTCCTAATCAATTTTTCTGAGCTTATAAGAGAAATGTAGCAACGTAATTCTTATAAAAAAATCAATAGAAAACGCGATCTCTCGATACCGTGACATCATAATATATCACGGAGCTTTCTCAACAAGGTCGCAACGTGAACTTTTTTGAATTATGATTGTATTGATAATGATATACTTATAATATTGACTTGAGAGCTAGCCTACGTGTTAATCCACCTAGGTTTTAAATATGAAGCTCGGTTAACCCTAGTGGAGATCGTTTTCTATTACCAAGATATGTATGTCTTGATGCACGAGTTCTTCTCGTGTGGACATAATCAATTAATCTTGTGTTGGGATGCGGTGAACTTTACATGATATGATGTGTCTCGGATCTTGCAAATAATCATGCAAATCAAAGCCATTTTCCACCTCTTTTTAAGCTATTTAAACACACATAACATTTCCAATAATTTCGTGCGATAACCTTTTCACTTTAGCGCCGCTTTCCTAATCATCGATGAGCCATACCACCAGAGTTGGCAGCCGTTGGATCATTAAAGATCTAATCTCGATTAGGAGAATTTTATTGGGATAATGATAAAATGTAATCATTTCCAAAAATATCACGGAAGGGGAGGTCTTATTTATCAAAAAGTCTTGAATTAGGTCGGAAGGGAAACACGCGATTAGCATCGACAATCCCTCTAAGTATTTATCGTAGGAATCGGTTTCGTACTTGTAGTTGGGATATTCGGTTCGAGACATCAATACAAATTTTTTTTTTTTTTGGGAACGATCTACGAAAGATGGATGAGGATTTTAAAAGACTTGTTGACTCAGGCAAAAGAAGCTGTGAGGAAGGATGGAGGGGACAAGGGAGGGCAGCTCACAGCTCCCTTCTTCCTACCACCTTTATTCCCACTTGCTTAATGATCAATTCTTTAACAATGTTTCCACACGTTAATCAAGTCGGTCCGATTCTCCAGAGATCAACAGATCCCGAGCCGTCTTACGTGTCGCTGCCCGATAGGCCTGGACCCGATACCTCATACACATGCAGTTCCCTATAAACAAACCCTCACATTTATATTATTGGGTCTCTCTCTCTCTCTCTCTCTCTCTACCTCTTATTAACCCAAAAGAATAGAAGAAGAGAAGCAAACAAGAAGGAGGAGAAAAGGAGAAAAGAAGCAGATCGTGAGGCCTAGGGTTTTCCAAACAACCATCTTGATTTTGTGTCATTGCCTCTGGAGAGAAAAAAATGGTCGGCTTGCTCGGCGGCAGCGACCTGAACTACAAGGAGACAGAGCTGTGCCTCGGCTTGCCTGGCGGCAGCGGGGCGGCAGAGGTGGAGGCTCCAAGGGCCACCGGGAAGAGAGGGTTCTCTGAGACCGTGGTGGATCTCGAGCTCAACTTCCAAGCCAAGGACGGTTCGTCGGTGGTGGATCTCAAAGAGGCCATGAAGAGTAAGGTGAAGACTCTTCTTGCTGGTGCTAGCCCCGCTAAAGATCCTGCAAAGCCACCAGCCAAGTGAGTACTTTGCTCTTTTCTTTTGAGTAATCTTTCAGCTAGATTTGGTCCATGTACATCCAACTCTTTTTCACCGTATATTACATGTGCTCGCTATTTTAGAGCATACTCATCTGATAGATCAAGTATACTTATGCAACCTGTTGAATGAATCGTAATCTTTTTCATTAACCGCTCTTGTAAATTTATCTGTTAATTGTTGGCGGCTTAAAGAAAAAGTCAAAAAAATGCAAAACCTTTATCAAAATTCCGGAATTTGTTTATTTTTCTCATCCTAATTTTTCGGGTTCTTTATGAACTGGATTTCATGTAGGGCTCAGGTGGTGGGCTGGCCGCCAGTGAGGTCATACAGGAAGAACATGATGGTAGCCCAGAAGAACGCCGACCCTGAGGAGGAGAAAGAGAAGGCAGCCGCGGCCGCGGCATTCGTGAAGGTGTCCATGGATGGAGCGCCTTATCTTCGCAAGGTCGACCTCAAGAACTACAGCAGCTACAAGCAACTCTCCGATGCTCTTGGCAAGATGTTCAGCTCCTTCACCATGGGTAAGAAACATCATTCTTCACACATATATTGCGAAACCCCACAACCTTTTTTCCTGTCGTTCATGATGTGTTATCAATGTCTTATTTAAAAAACAAAAGTTTTATTTTCGGTTTTTGCTGGTGAAGGGAGCTATGGTGCTCAAGGAATGACAGACTTCATGAACGAGAGCAAGCTGAAGGACCTGCTGAACAGCTCTGATTATGTGCCGACGTACGAAGACAAGGACGGCGACTGGATGTTAGTGGGCGATGTTCCATGGGAGTATGTATTTCTCCCTCATATCCCAATTCCATATAAATAAAACCTAAAAAAATAAAAAAAGCAACCGATACAAAAGATGATGTTTACCATTTATATACCTTTTCTTTTTTCCTTATTTGGTTATCTAATAGTACATCGGATCATAGGTTCTTGCCACCTGCTAAGTTAGTTCCCAAGGAATTTAGGTATACTATTGGACTATATCTTTTGATGAATTATACTAGTGTAACCTTGGCAGATAATGTATCTTGCAGTGGTAGAGTTTATCGTTTAAAAGAACTTTATAATACGCGAGTCATCGGATCTTAGACGATCGACATGGGATTTTGGTAGTAAACTCGTAAAACGCCGGTCATAAACATCTCTTAGGAGGGATCGGTAATTCCAAAGGTTTTTCTCGTTTGAACTCAACTTTATTCCGTTTCAACAGGATGTTTGTCGACTCATGCAAGCGCCTGCGCATAATGAAAGGGTCCGAAGCAATAGGGCTCGGTACGCAGCTTTCTTGTCAATTATTTGGCTAAATTTATCATTTTTTCCCAGTTTTTTGTTTTCGCCATTTAAACGCGAGGAGGCATCTGATTATTATTGAGCTAATCACGAGATCTAAAAAATTTTCAGCACCAAGAGCAATGGAGAAGTGCAAGAGCAGAAGCTGAACACCCAAACTCTGCGCTCACCAGTTTTAGATCCTCTCGAGGCAAACACCTTTTGGCCAGAGATTCTCCATGGATCAAAGGCCATGGTGCTCCTCCTTTACCCGTCCGTCTCTGTACTTTCATTGTTTTAGCTCGTACATAGATATCAAAAGATGTGGTGATTTGTAATGGAACAAGAGGCAATAAACTTTAGCTCGTCTGATGTTTTTTTCCTTTTCTTGTCTTTCATTTTTTTTTTTCATTTTTGTCTTGTTTTCTGTTCTTGTGGGCTTCACTATAATGGCTTGCTTAAAGACATACTATTTTCCTTATTATTCTGTCCCCTACTGTCATCGCTGTCACGGTTGTTGGGTGTTTTATTCTCCAGATATATAAATATTTATTTCCACCCATGAGATTCTTGCTGCCAATTTATTTAATTAAATAATTTTGGGCACACACATATATATTTTCTTTGCTTCATCTAGTACATTATTATTTGGCCAAGAGAGGAGATATGCTGAATCCATGACCCCCCTAGTGGGGGAGGGAACAGGGCCACGTGCATGTTGATGGGCATCCATTATTTCATGGCCATTATTTTCTTATGCTAGCTCGTTTCATACAATAAAGTATTTCATTTCTTTTATATTATTATGGGGAATCGATGCTTACATAATGGAGGTTGATGATTAGTGGCACTTTGCATCTGCCTGTGCTGGTTTAAAAATGGCAATAGGGACACCTTTGTGAGATCACTTGAGTCCGAGTTAGGTCAGTGTTGTTTTCGCAACTTTCCTCACAAAGGATGGACAAATCCCTGGAAATCTGTGGGCTTGTGCATGTCTTGGATCGGGCAATGGTAGTGGCAGCTAGCGCCATGTTCTCTCTTTTGTGGAAATTATAGTTTATGGACGTGTGGGGGTTTTTGTCCATGCTTTGGGATCGATCCAAAGGAAGCGGGCAGTAATAATTTTGGCAGACAAGAAAGGTATATAAATTTGATTCATAAGGTTATAAAATTCTCGAAAACTTTGTATCAAGTTTATACATCGCAAATTTACCTCCTCCAGAAACTGCCGGGTTGAACATGAGGTTTTTGAAGAACACAAATTTGTTTACGCCCTTTTTTTCTCTTCACTTTTCTTCTCTTCAGCTTCTTCTGCCCTTCACCTCCCCGTGGCCACGACCACAGAGCACGCATAGCATAAAGGTGACCCCGCCGCTGCCACCCTGCCACTTAATGTCACTATGGGCAGCCATCGCCACCGCCACCACTGTGCTCTCTCTCTCTCTTTGAGCCTCGGCCTCGTAGTATTACTCTCTATTTGTAACGATCCGACATAGTCACGTGGGTTAATCCAAAAATTGAGTACTTTGAATAATAATACAAATTGGTGGTGACCATTTGGCAGTGGACGTACTTATGAATAACATCACAAGGCCTCAACCATCCAATGTGGCTATTGGGATGTCAGAGACTCCCCCACTTAAACCACTAACATTATGGTCAATTCGAATTTAGCGATGCTCCCGTAATTCGATTATGGTGCAATCCATCCCTTCCTCCTCTACCATCCTAGAAGAAAGCTGGAAATCGTATCTTGTCCGGATCCTTTCACCTTGAGGATCTCGCCCTTGTCAGATTAGATATGGGTTCTATTTGTCCACGAACCACACATCTACTAGAGAGATTCTTGCTCTTATAAGGTATGTAACTATTTGGCCCAACTCACGTGGGTCAAGCTCCCAAAAGAAGTACTCTAAGTAAATGTACAAAAGTTGTAACCATTACATATGGATCTTACTTATGAATGACATTATAAGGTGTTCATTGAAAATGAGATTTTACTCAAGAAGTGATAAATCTTCACCAAGAGCCGAACCTTGATTTTTTTTATGAAAGTGGGTTCTGTGATGATTCTGAATAAAAAATTGTTTTGGCTTTTAAAGTGAAAATGAAGAGACGAACACAAAAATTTAAAATATAAAGAAATAAATTTTGCACATAAATGGAAATAATGAACTCCATTGACTTGATACGTCTTGGGAACCCCCATTTACAACAAATACATATGTATTTATAACCCACTAACCACGATTACAAACAAGCAGTTGCTACTCTTAGTACAAATACTGCTGCGTTCTCCGAGATCTTTGGCATGCTTCTCGTACGTTGATGATCATTATCCACAGAGGTTATAACTTCCGAGGCCACCTGGATAACCAACCATCGCTTGGTAATGCAGCCACCTGACATTTGTGATTCAAGCATCCCCTTGATTTCCACGTCCAACACCTAGTAAAATTTGCAGTGACTGGTCACTCATAGGCTTTGTCGGTAAGTTGTCGATGGTCCTTCATTTGTTGTCGAATACCTTGACATGTAGTTGTCGATTTACCGGAGTCTTTTTCAACCAAACTCTCAATTAACCGATCAAACCTCACCATTTGTCGATTACAAGCAGTTTGTTATATTTTGGTGAACACACTTCACCAATTCAATGTGGGATTTGGGGAATCATACTAATTTCGTGCCCGAGTTGGGATGAAGGTTGGTCCTACTTGTCGCGATGCATAGTGGGGGAGGTGGGCAACTGTGGCGACGAGGTGGAGGAGCGATGAGCAACGGCTGGGCATGTGATGGTGTGGCTAACTGCGGACGCATGGGTTGGGGCCAATTTATTCTTAAACCTTTTAATTTTGCCAATTTAATTCTAAATCTTTTGACGATTGGCTAATGTAGTCCTTCAGGACAATTTTGGCCGAAAATCATTAACGTGGTCGTCAGTCGTCCAACATGGCACAGTCGGCAATGACGTGAATAATTTTTGCAATATTTTATGAAATTAATATTATTATTATTCTTTTTTATTTTTTATCTTCTTTCCTTTCATTTTTTTCAACTCTAAGCTGGCGAGGGCCGCAGTGCCCTCGCCCAAACCAGGTAGGGGTGTCGCGGCCCACGCTTGGATCTTGGCAAGGGCGCGGAGGCCCTTGCTTGTGGCCGACGAGGGCCACGGCGCCCACGCCCCAGACCAGGCGAGGGTTGCTAGCCCTTGCTTGTGGCCAACGACCTTGCAGGCCAAAGTTGGAAAATAAAAAGAAAGAAAAAAAAAAGAAAAAATTAAAAAAATTCATAAAAATTCATAAAAATTGCAAAAATTGTCCACGTTAAGATCTACTGTGCCTTATAGGATGGCTGGCCTCTATATTAGTGATTTTTGGCGAAAATTGGTTTAGAAGGACTGCATTGGTAAATTGTCAAAATGTTTAGGAATAAATTGGTCAAATTGAAATGTTTAGGATTGGACTGGCCACCGTATAGTAGATTTATGATTGTATTGGTAATTTCCCACAAACGCTTAAGCAGTGGTTCCTTACAATTGCCTGTACTAACCTATTACTAATGTAGATAATTTAAAATGGGTCCATACAATATAACATATTATTTATCTGGGAGGTACCCAAAGCCTTATATATATAGAATTATAGAAACCCAATAAGTTTATACTATGATTGGATCGATCATATGCTACAGCATTGGCATGTGCAAATCGCACATAGCTGCACTTTTAAAATATTTGCTCGAGAAAGTTCATCGTTGGAACGTCCCAACGTGAATGATTATAAAAGGCACTTACATCAATTTTTCTTTTCAATTTTGCTAAATTCACGTACTTAATTATGAACTGATTTTCAATTACTTAGAAGGAACGATTTTTATCTCTGCTGATTTTCGTATATTGAGAATTATACATGGTTAAGGATAAAGGGAACCTTGTTACAGAGTTCCAACTTCTTCTTTTTTGCCGTTGAAAAAAGTCGAACGAGTGATGATTGTTTTAACTTCTAAATGGTCGTGTTATCTTTCCGAACTCGAATTATGCTACAAACCCCTCTCTTATTTAATTATTTCAACAATGTTTTCCTTTTTTTGAGAAAAAGAAAAAAAGTAACATGGAGAGCGACAATATATAAGATGTCAATCTCAAATGGCGACTCGTGATAACTTGTATATCCAAATATGAATTTCGCTACGTAATGTCGCAAAGGGCATCTTGTGCTCTGATTCTCGAGGAGCAACTTGAACAGGGTCCATTGCCGAAGTCCGCACCAAAATAGGACTCGTAACAATGCACCCTTCAAAGGCAATTTAAATGCATCATGCAAGATGGCATATGTAATAGCATGCATCAGAAAGCAAATTTGAAGATGTGCCTCAAGAGCCAGCTTATCCAGTGTATCTCAAAAGGCGGCTCTCGGAACGTCGCTCACCAGTCGTACCCCGAGAGGCAAGCTTGTTTTCGTACGTGTCACTACCTTGGTGGTCGATGTACTTCGATTCGATTAGGGATTTCTTGGCTATTTTAAGCACGATTAGCCTTAGGTTTAGTTCCATCTTTTCTGGGTTCAAGGAGCACATTATGTGAAGCTTGATGGGCCTTTGAGGGCTTCCCGGGCTCACATGGACCTTCGAGGGACTTAATGGCAGAGGCTTAGTTGGTCCGTATCGGGCTAAATGGAGCTTAATGAGGAGCCTTTGGACTTTATTTTGGCCGCAACGAAATTGGTATTGGTCCAACATTGGATTACATGACTCATGGCCCATGATTTTTGTACGGAGTTTACTTTAGTACTAAAACTTTTCGACGGATCACTTCAGTGCCACTTTAGTAAACAAAGATTATTTAAGTGCCAACTCCGATTAAGGATTCCGAAAATGCAATGTGGCATCATTTATTATATATTGGTTGATGTGGCTTCATCGGAGAATTTCAATTAGTAACAAACGATGTCGCTTGCCCTTGTTTTTTTCCCCAAATTAACAAATTAGGGCAAAGAAGCAAACCTTAACCCTGCCCATTGAAATTACTTGTAAAATTGCAGATGATTATTTGCAAGAGAGTGAGCGAGAGCCCCAAACAAGCAGATTTGAGGTCGTTGAAGAATTGAGTGATTGACGTTCCAGTTCAAGGTGATTCTTGAAGCAGGGCAAGCAGAAAAGGTTTTATGTAAAGCGTACTGGGGTTGTTGAAGATGGAGTCGTTGGGCACGTATATTGTCCATCGGCTATGTCACGGTCTTCAAGATCTCCTCGAGGTTCTGCAAGGACGTGGTTTTTAGCCAATATGTCTTGTCGGCCTTGTCTTCATCTTCACCGCGAAGTCCTATCTTCAATCCTCCACTCATGGTCTCATCTTCACTGAAAGGCCGCCTCTTTCTCCTCCAAGCTCGAAAAACGGGTCCCTTCTTCGCCCATGCTTCGAACTTCATCGTCCCGAACTGCAGCGAACGAGAATTGGAGCATCATGAAGGCAAATTACAAATTGAGACAGTGCTCTATATATTTCTCCGTCGTGAAAACAGAGTTTTGCTCTTTTTGCTCTACACAGAGAGTGTGTGTTTCCCCA